TCCTCTTGGGCGGTGGCCGTGAGACAACACGTTCAAGATGGAGGAGCCACAAAAGTGGTCAGGATCCCTGCATCACCCATGGAGAAGCTCCCGAGAGAGAGATGACCCAATCGGATTATGCGTGAGAAAGAAAGAAACCTTTGTTGTTCGAGGCCCCTGAGATTTGGGGTGGGTTTGTGGTGGCAGCTTGCATCAATCATCTTGACAACACACTGCATGTTAATGGGTCCAGCCTTGCCGTGGCGCCCTCTGTGGCTGGGGCCTCCAGACCCTCCCTGGCCTCTCAGCTCCATAGCTGGGAGTTGCACGTCTGATAATTTCCTCACTCAACAGCCTGGTTTTGAAAGCTCAGAGAAGGAAGGGGAAGGCAGAGGACCCCAGCCAGGTGTCTAGGATGCATCAGCAGCGTGTTGCCCTCGCCGGTTGTCCTGTGGCACGACCACCCCGCCCGCTCACAGAAGAGGACCAAGAAGCTCATGACCTTCCTGAGGCTGTGCTGCTAAAAGAGGTTGCATCTCTCTGCTGCCTCTCAGTTAGATCCTTGGTTTTTCAGCCAGTCCCAAAGCCCACTCCTGCCCCATGTCCTATAATGGCCACCAGAGCAGAGCTGGCCTTGTGTGGGCAACTGCTGCAGGATTTGGGGCAGCGTCCAAGGAGTGGGCTTTGCCTCTGGGGATGGAAGTTTGAGCAAGGCTTTGCAGAGTGCTCTGCCACAGGGAGGAGGGGACTGTGGCTCCAGGCGTGAGCATCTCCTTGGAGCAGGGACTTTCCATCCTGGCTTCTGGCAAATACTCAGTGTCAGTCATTGAGGGACAGGAGCCAGTTCCCCCAGAGACATGAGGCAGGAGAGGTGAGTGCCGTGAAGGGAAGCTTCCCAGGGCTTCCCAGTTCCACCTGAACCAACTTGCTCTGCCTTGGAAGATGCCCAGCAGGGAACGCAAGCAGATAATCATCTCTGCTAATGGACTGATAACCCGCCTCTGCAGCAATGACCCTATCCTGTGCTCCTTGCCTGGGGTCACCACCCACTCAGAGACTCAAGACAAACCAGGAGGTCATCTGCAGTTCCTTCAGGCCCACACCTGGCTGTCACTTTTCTCTTAGCATTCTCGAAGCCCTACCCCCACTGCTCCTCTGGCCCCCTCATGCTCCTGCAGCAACTCCCAGATAGCCTCTGCTTCCTGTCCTTCCGCCTCCCCTCATACTCCTCCATTCAAGGCCTTGGTCAACCTCCTGACGTCAACCTCTTCAGCATGGTTTCCTGGGCCCTGCAGCCCCAAGGACCACCCCTACCTTTCGCTCCTACCCCGGTGACCATCTGCACCCTGAGCTACTCTGCACCAAGGGCGCTCGGCCTTGTGCTGTGGCTGATCCGCTGTGGCCCCATTCTTCAAGGTGGGGGCTGCGGGTGGGTGCAGGATGCACAAAAGTAGCCCTGGCTGCACCTGTTTGATGCTAGTAATACCTCCCCGAACACCAACTCCAATGTCCCAAGACATTACCACGTGTCCTCTGGGGCCAAGTCGAGACCACTGCTCTCTGCCTTTGCTTCTGATAGGTTCTTTCCCTCCTTTTGTACCTGGTTTCCTCTGCCACCTTCTTTCAAATCCACACCAGCATCTTCACCTCTCAGGGCCTCTGCTGGCTCGCCCAGGCTGGGGTAGGGGTGGCTTCTCAGGACCCCGCTCCCAGCACAGAGCACTACTCCAGTCACACTGCATTCAACTGATCTGTTTATGTTTGTCCCTTTTCTGTAAGGTGGGCTGCTCAGAACCCCCACCTTGGAACAAGGAACACAAGGAGCATGTGCTCAGAGACCACTGGGTTGGAAGGATGGATTTTGACTAGAGACAGAAGAGCCCTGTGCATTGGAGGGGTCTGGGCAAGGCAGACACAGAAACAGAAGTGATAAAGACCCAGCAGGAAGCAGCACCTTCCAGGACAAAGACCAAGAAGACGTGGATATCAAGAGGAGACTGAGAGCCAGGTGTGGTGATGCATGCCTGTACCTCTGTGACTCAGGAGGCTGAGGCAGGAAGACGACATGTTCAAGGCCAGCCTCAGCAACTTGGCAAGAACTTTTCTCAAAAATGAAAAGCACTGGGGACGTGGCTCAGCATAAAGCACCCCTGGGATCAATCCCCAGGACCAAAAAAGAAAAAACAAAAAAAACATTTGGGTGATGTGGCTGGAGCCCAGTGGGGGCTGTAGGAGTGACCACAAGAAAAAGGAAGTAGGAGCAGGAGGAGGGATGGTCACAAAGGCCCCAAGAAGACTTCCGCAGCCCTGGGGTGTCCAGCAGAATGCTGAGGGGGTGGGTGGGGGATGGGGGTAGTCTTGTGGTCAAATAAGTTTGGGAAATGCTATGTTAGCATAAGTAGTTTTCCTCATAGCAGGACTTCTCGAGCTTTCGATGTGCTCAAGTGCTCGTGAGATGGCGGCCCACACTGTGCTGACCCCAGGGCCTCTGGTCAGTGTCCTACAGCTACATCTGAAAACGCTGCCTGGAGCTGACATGTGAGCTGCATCTTAGGAAGGCCCCCAGGCAAGGATCATCTGGATTTGGGGGACAGTGGCTCTGGGGGTTGACAGGGGCATGAGCCACTAGCTCAGCTCCTCACTGGGTCCCTTGCTCCGGCACCTGGGGCTTCTGCAGCCCTGAGAAGTAAAGTGGGCTCTTGAGCTCCTGGTGGAAGGCTGGGGGCACAGTGCAGAATTTATTGAAGAAAAGCAGTCGACCCAAGAGATGGCCTCCCCAGGCCCCTGGGCTGTAACAGATGGTGTGGTTTAAATTTCAAAAATGGAGGAGTACTTAAGGAAAAATGTTGGCAGGCACAGAGGCACTTGTAAAACCATCTGAGCTGATGGGGCGTCTGGGCCCCATGCCTCCAGGAGTCGAGGCTGCTCTGAGCAGAGGTAGGGAGGGCTGGAGGGCCCGGACCAGGGTCTGCTGGCAGAGGCCTCTGGATGAGGTGGGCCAGGAGGGCGAGAGGGAAGCCCTGGCACCTGCCCACGTCCTGCCCTTGGACAGGCTGCCAGCGTCTACTCCAGCTGCACAAGGGGAGCACAGTCAGGCAAGGCTGGGTGGAGGGAGCACCCTACCCCGCCCCACCAGATGGCAGGAAGCTGCACACCCCAGGGGAAAGGCCTGGGGTCCCAGCATCACCCAGAGGCAGGTACAAGTCTGGCTCTGCCATTAGCTGTGACCTGGCAGGTGACAGCTCTGTGGAGCAGCCTCATCCTCAACGGTAAGAGGAGCATCTTCAGCGACTGCAAGGACTCGGACAGCAGGTCCTCAGCCCCTGTTAGTCATCACTGTTTCTGGGGACACAGACTCAAAGAAGGTATGGAAGGAGAGCTGGAAGGGCCCAGCAGAGCCTCAGCAAGAAGGCATCTGGCAGAGGGCAGGTGAAGACGCAGCCTAGCAAGTGACTTGCCTCTCTGGGGCCTGGCAGCCTTGTGAACGAACGGGACAAGGACACTGGCACCACCAGCAGTACCATCTCGGAGGTGCCTGACCCCTTCATAGTAGCCAGGGAGCTACTATTCTTCCCATCCTTCTGGGGCACTTCCTGCCCTCAGGGTGGCACCTCCCCTGGACTTGGGTCCCTTTTTATAGTGTTCACAGTGTTTTCAGTGGTGACCAAGAGACCAACATGCACCTCCCTGCAGACCCATGGATAAGTCACTGGCTGCAATTGTGGGTGAGCAGGGTCCTGGCTCAGAATGACTTCTCCTGACCTCCTACACCTGGGACCCTCACAGACTCCAACAGGCCTATGTGTGGGAGGGGGCAAGGCAACGCTGCCCAGTGGCCCAGCAGAAGGAGCGGGCAGCCACATCTGCCCAGGGCCATGTCTCGGCCGGAGTGAGCTGGGCCTGTTCTGAGTCTGAAGCATTTCACAAACATTAATCCTGTCACATCCAAACTTTGCGAAAGGACTGGGGTGTGCACAGCTCCCAGAGGGAGAAGGGTATGATTATGACAGAGAGACTGACAGCCACTGTGTGCACACGTGTGCGGTGGCCTTCAGTAGGCCGGTGAGCAGCAGGGCCCGACAGGAGCCGCACTGCTGGGCGTGAGCCCGGCTCACGGGGGAAGCTAGACAGCCACTACCTACTGCATTCCCTGGACAGGTCCTGGTCCTGTGGGCTGTGCCAGCCTCGGTCCACCAGGAGCCTGGGCGGCTTCCCAGAGGACCACCCTCTGAGGGGCTGGTGCCCATGACATCAGGGCCCTGAGCAGGAGGAAGCCACTGTGGGCCCTGGGAACGCCCAGAGCTGTTCACAGGCAGGTCCTGTCCCTGGCTGTCACTGCCTCACGAGGCGGGTTTGGCAGGGGTGCGACTTTTTAAGAAGGGAAACTGAGGCCCAGTGAGGGAAAATGAGCAGAACGCTAAATGGGCCAAGAACAGACTTCTCCGTCATGCGGGTGGCAGGTCCCAGAAAACCCAGTTTGCCAGGACCCGAGGGGTGGCTCCACCTGGCTCCTTCAACCATCCAGTGGGCACTAAGGTGGGGAGAGGGTGGCCCCTCACCCTCCATCATCTCCAGAAACACTCGGAACTCTCCGCATTCTCCTGTGAGCCCTGTGACCGTCCAGACCCGGGGCTGTGCTCGCCTTCTGGATCCCTCCTGGCCCTCTCTGACCTCTGGGAGCTGCCCCTGGTGAGCCTTTTCTTCCAGGCACTTCCAGTTCAGCCAGGGCTCTTCCCCTCCTGCCCCAAACACACAGTGTAGGCAGCGGGAGGACCCACGGAAGGGACTCACCCAGGGAGCAGGCTTCTTGCCTGACACAGCCTGGCCTGGACCCCCACCTCTTGCTGCTGGGCTGGGGGTGCCCTCTGGTTAAGGACAAGAACCCAGCTCTCTAGAGACAATGGAAGCCCCTGGCCCTGCACTTTATGGTGCCCCCAAGTGGCCTGGCAGGGACCTGGGGCCCATTTCCTGGAGGGGGCCTGCAGTTCCTCTCCTGCTGCAAGGGTCTGGAGGCCTCTTACCTTTGGGGTGAGGTACTTGGTCATAATTTCCTTCCCTTTCTCTCCCAGCTTTTCATCTGGTGTAACTTCGTATTCTGCCTGAAACAGAAGAAGAAAAAGATAACAAAAAAAGAATCTTGGCGCCCCGGAGAAGACCCCCGGAGGCCCTGACCAATCTTCTTCTACAGGGCAGGAAACTGAGGTCCAGAGAGCAGGGCAGACCTGGTCGAGCAGCCCAATGTCTAGTCCAGATTTCTCCACACTCTCCCAGGACGCTGGCTCTAAGAGCAGCACTCTCCATGCAGGCTGCCCACTAGAGATGGACAAACACTGGGACCCAGAGCAGCAGGACAGATCCTCTGGTGGCCAGGAGGGCAGCCTCTGGAAGCTGGGGTGAGGAGCACCAATTCAGATGAATCAAAGGCAACCACTGGAAAACAATGGGCCACCCAACTGGAGCCACAGAAAGGCTGCCCCAGGTCACTCAGACCTCACGAGTCACGTGCCTGGACAGTGTGCTCAGCTGTCTCAAGTGCAGAGGGGTCCGGCACCTGTGGCACCTGTATGAGGTTCAAGGCAACCCCACAGTTCAGGGCCCAGGGTCCAACTTCTCCCAGGCCAGCCAGGGGACACTCCTGGACAAAGGGAAGGGGAAGGTGGCACTTGGAAGGTCCAGGGGGATCCAGGCCCACTCCCATTCTGAGAGAGCCAAGGGTCCCCAGTCCCCAATGAGAAATGCAAACCCCACAACCATCTGCACCCTGGGACTGTGGATGGTGCTTCCAGAGGAATCCAACCCCTCATTTTACAGGGCTGGGCACGAAGGCTCAGAGAAGCAAAGGACTTGTCCCGGGTCACACAGCCGGCACCAGCAGGGGAGGGGAGGCCCTGCCTGCTGTCCCCTCACTCCTACTGAACCATCCAGTCACAGCCTCTCTCCAGGGCCACACCTCCTCTCCATCAAGACGATTGTGAGAGACAGAGGCTTTCCTGATGATTTGATCTGAGTGGTGACTTCTTGGGATGTTTAATGGAGAGAAGGTGGCTCTTCCTCTTGACTCTTTCCTGTATCTTTCTCTAAGCTCATGCGCCTGCACACACACACACACACACACACACACACACACACTCACGGACACACACATGTAGTACTGACAACCAGCATGACTCTTCCTAATTGATGGCAGAGACACTGAGGGGCCAAGAGGCCAAACAACTGGTTCAAATCCAACAGAGCTGCTAAGCAATTCCTGTCTGAAGGGCCGAGCGTTCTGCAGTTACTGACTGCCCTTCTCCAGGGACAGCAGAGAAGCACCAGTGTCCTGCTGCCCCTGAATGTCCAGCCTCGTGGCCAGGCATGTGGGACAGAGCCAGGTTGCTTTGCAGGCCCAGGCTCCTGGCAAGTGGCCAACCACTGCTTAGGGTACCTCCACCCCACCCAGAACACTGGATTCGCACTGTTCCAAAATGCTTCTGTGGAGGCGGTTCTATTTAACCCAATGGAGGCCTGGGCTCACTGATCAGCCTCAATAACCAGCTGAAAATGTTATTACTCTGGGTACTGAAACCCATGCTAAGAAAACAATAACGTCACTTTCAGGTCAGCCACCTCCCGGTGGAGGCCAGATGGGCTCATGGCTCCGCAGGGAGGCAGCCGGGAATACACGGGACAGACCTCCCCAGCCCAGGATCCAAAGACCTTTCTTTGAGGGGTCCACGTCAGACTACCACCATCTGAGCATTAGTGTTGGGAAGCAGGAACCGGCAGAAGGACTCCCCCTGAGGTTTCCACACTGATCAAGTCACCTGGAGTGACAGGCCACATCTTCACAGTGACCCCCAGGGAGTCAAGTCCTGAGAGGCCACCTACAGAGAGAAGGCCCCTAGCAGCTGAGCTGGACGGGCTGAGCTCAAGGCAGATCCCACGACATGAGGCTGAGACCAAGTAGGAGCTTGTGATGCCAGAACTTTAGCATCAGACCTGGCTCAGGAAACAGCAGCCAAGGAGGCCTTCAAAGAAAGAGGTAGATCCAACGCGAGGACCGTTGCCAAACCCCATCTGCACCAGAGGCCCTTCCCACCAGAGCAGGAGCTGGCCTTGTCCCTCCCCAAAGAGGGATGCCCACAGTCCTCTTGCTCTCCTGCCCATCTGACTCCCTGCCCCTGCCCAGAGCTCAAAGCCCTCAGAGGGCAACTCCGAGATACACTGCAGGTGCCAACCATGGCAGGGCGCAGTGGGCTTCCGTGGGCTGTGACTCGTGCTGACACATGGACGGATGGCCTTGGGGAGCAGGTGCTGCCCCGATGCAAGGAGAGAAGGGCTCCCCTGAGCTTGGGGCACACAGGACTACTCATGGGTCTCTGCCTGCCAGAGCGCGGAGTCCGTGGGCAGCGCAGACCACCACCTGGCAGGTATTCCACCCACGATCAGCGCTTACTGCATCATCCATCTCAGAGAACACGACAGAAACAGGTCCTGGTGGTGGGGACGCTTTTTCCCAGATGATCTTTAGGACTTGCCATGCGACCAAAGGATGCTGTTGGCCCTGACTGGCCTGGTGCCCCTCCTTCTCCCCGGAGACCCTCTCCTGCCTTGGCAGGAAGATGAAGTCAGAGATGCCTCGAGGTCTCGCCACCCGGGCTTCTGTAACTGTCGATGTGGTCAGCTTTTCCAGTGTCTGAGAGGCAGGGGCAGTGACGTGCCTGGTCAGCAGCATGGCTCCCCACGGGTCCACCCACGCTGACCCCAGTGTGCTGTCTGTGCTGACTGTCACAGCCACCCCTTCCTACCCAGAGTGACACTGGGCAGTTTTCTGTCCCTTCCCTGCCTAGCACCTCAGGTCCCTGTATCCCTCTTCTGATACCCAGCTCCTGCAGGTCTGCCTCTTCTGTGTTGGTCCCTTCTCTTATCCCTGCAGGTGGAGAGGTGGCAGGGCATCAGCTGCCACTGATTTCCTACCCCGAGAGCACTCCATAAACCACCCTTGCCAAACTCTTGCACTCACGTACCCGTGGGCACCTGTTTCCGGCCGGGACCTGACCGGCAGGTTCAAGGTGGGTGGACACTGATCTTGCTTCCTCTCTGCCTCCCAGCTAGCATGCAGAGGCACGGCAGGAAAGGGAGTCCTCCAGAGGCCAAGGGTCTGATGGGCCTGGACAGCCCCAAAGCTGTCCCACCCAGGCAGCTGTCCTCTCATCTATGGCTTCCGGCTGAGCAGCCCTCTTGGGTTGGGTCGGCGGGAGTCACTGGCCCACCGCAGGGCCACAGATGGGATGGGACCAGAGAAGGAAGGGAAGAGCAGATCCCTGGCCACACCCGGTAGAGACTGAGAATGGCAGAAGGGGCCCCAAGGTGACCCAGGTCTTCCTGACAGTCCCACGGTTCCCAGCTTGTGAACCAGGTCCTGGCTGGAGGCAGGCGCTGCACCTCTCTGGGGGAGGTGAGAAGCTGTCGGTCCCCAGGCACAGGGGCTGTGCTAGCGCCTCCTGTCTGCCCCATCCTCCTCCTGAGCTCAGTCCTGCCTAGCCTGTTCTGTTCCCCAGAGCACTTCCCCGTCCTCGCTCACAGCCAAGACTCCTCCCGCCACCACGGGGTTTGGGCTTTTCCTGCGACTCTTCTGGGTGTCGGTGAAAAGAGCCCGACCTCACCTGGTTCAGGCAAAACTGTCATCTCTGGGCTCTCGGGACCCAAGGACGAGTTGAAAAACCAAACTAAGGAGAAGGAATGCAGCTGGGCCCAGGGATGTGAGCCCTTCTGGACCCACTAGCTCATTGGTGGGGGTGATGGGGCTTTACGCTTCCTTAGAGTGGACTGGCCGTCCCCTCACGGTAGTCATGGCAGGAAACATGGTGGTCAGCTGTTGCCAGGAGCCCGTGTAGGTCTTCCCTACCAGAGGACTCCCCTCAAGCCTGTCAGTTCCAGAGAAAGGATCCGTTGGCCCGGTTTGGCTCGGTCTTCTCCAACCCACTGCAGTTTGGGTGATGTCACTTCTAGGGCAGCCACATCATTTGGGACTAGGGGTCTCAGGTCTGAGAGGCCACACAGGAGGCTGGACAAGGCTGAAGACTTCCACTGGATGACCCATCTTCTCAAGATGTCCCTGTACCAGGGTTTGGCTTTACTAACAGTTCTGAGAGTCTCTATGCGAATCTGAGGAATTCTCTCCCCTCTGAGCCTCTCCCTTTGGGAGGATGAAAGCAATGATAGAAAAGACAGACACATACTGGACGACGGCCCCTAAGAACCAGAGTCCGCAGTTCCCCTGGCGCGGCAGGGCAGATAACCCAGTTCACCGAAAGCCAGGTGACAGCTGCTGGTGGCCTGTGATCAATGAATGGCTTGGAAGGCTACTTACCATTTCCTGATGGGAGATTTCATTTATGGTAACCTCATAACTGTAGCCCTATCCTCCCAAATAGCCCTCAGTGACCCTGGCCTCCTGCCACCCATGCTCTGGAGAAGACACTAAGACCCATGAGGTCTGATGAGTGTGACCTGGGGGAACGGCTGTGAAAGCTGAAACGGCGGGCCATGGACGACGTCGCCCCCTAACTGTGCTCTGTTCCCTTGGGCCGCTGACTCTGCAGAGAGCCAGCCATGGTGTAAGGACCCCGTGCAATCCCACAGAGAGGGCCACCAGGGGAGGAGCAGAGGCCTCCTGCCCACAGCCAGCACCTACTTGCCAGTCCACGTGAGCAAGCCAGAGAGCAGATCCTCCAGTTTCGGTCGAGCCACTTGATGCTACCCTTCAAGAGTCCGCAAGCCAAGAGCACCGGGCTAACCATCCCCAACTTCCTGAACCACCAAAACTGTGGGATAATAAATTGCTGTTGCGTTTTGAGCCGCTGCAATGTGATAACTAACACTCGACAGGTATTCCAACTCATAGCTGTTGTTTACTTCATTTAAAATGATTCATCATTTATTTATTTTTTCATTGTTCATTTAACCAGAAAGTTAAGCCCTGTGAGGTCAAGAACTTGCCTGTCCCCGTTCACTGTGCAGCCTCCAATGGGGACAGAGCTTGGCCCAGGGGAGACACCTGATGGGTTGTGCCAAGTGAATCCAGCTCAGTATCCACCAACCCTCCCCCTCACCT